GGGTTACCTGTAGTGGGGAGGGGGTGGGGGGAGGGTTACCTGATGGCTTTCAGTTTGTTTCCTATTCGATATTAAGTTCTTATGCTGTCCCTGTGTGCTGACAAATTGGCATATTTCTCTATTCTAATTTACCTCCATGAATCAGGGTTAGGAATCACATACATGTAGTATGTGTTTTATGTTGATTGTAACTTCTATGCGTTATCCTATTTTAATTAGGGGTGTAAGTGTCTCACTTTCTGCTTTCACTCTATAGGTGGCTAGCAGAGGCAATGTTCTCATTTGTAGAAGGCAACTTGACATGACAGCAAATATGATCACCTAAGCCTATGTAATCAAGTGTTGGGCATGTCAGATGTCTATCGGATCACTTTCCTTTAAACTCAATCATTATGTCATTTAGGTGGAATTGGAATTATGAATTATATCATAATAAGTTTGTCAGTAAAATATACCATATATTACATACTAGGAAATGAATTATACTTCTTAACCATGTCAAAACAAAAGCTTAACTTAATGGTTCATAAAGATAACAATATCGTCTGAAACAGTATTATTTCCTGAACAAAACCTGAGCCTTACATCGCCAATCGGAACCTTCTTACATAATGCTCTCACAAAATACTTCGATTGAAATACGATATAGCTTGGCAGAGTGTAGAATAACACAAACATGGTCAAAAGTTATAGTTATAAGGAATCTGGTGATCACTTGGCGCGTGCCCTACCGATTTGATCAGATTGTGTGATCACTTTTGCCGTCGTGTTGCTGTGAAGAATGGATTTCCTGGCCATGGGATTTCTCACTATTTGACAGTACAACAAATAGAGGAGGCATAATGTGTTCATGAAGGGTTAGCCGTTTCAGGAACACGTGTGTGTGTCTTCCAGGAAAGTGTTTCGACAGCAATGGTGGATCTAACATAATGCATTATTTTTTCATTTTGGCAGACATCTATAATTTCCTTATTTCGAAATTAAGTCATGAAGATGATCGTCACATTTCTGTAGAGTAGATTTAACTGTATCGGGTAGGAAACCCTGTCTACGTAGTTTTTACATTTATATAGTCCTAATGAGGGATTTTGAGACTTAGATTAATATAGTGACCACTTCAACAAATAATTTCCATATTTTGAAATCAAGTCATGAATATGATCGTCACATTTCTGAAGAGTAGATTTAACTATATGGGGTAGGAAACCCTGTCTACTTAGTTTTACATCTATGTAGTCCTAATGAGGTATTTCGAGACTTAGATTAATAACGTGACCACTTCAACAAATAATTTCCATATTTTGAAATCAAGTCATGAAGATGATCGTCACATTTCTGTAGAGAAGATTTAACTTCGTCCGGTAGGAAACCCTGTCTACGTAATTGTTGCATTATGCAGTTAACACTTAAAACACGCCATGTCTAGCTTTAAATGGATTTTGATATTTAGACAGATTAATGGGGCGACCACTTCAACAACACATTAATACCCTGTAGCCTTTGATTATAGATTAGAAGTACAGGGATTACAGACTACGAGGTGTCAAGTGTATCGTTACAGTGTTAACATAGTATTAACCTTAAGCTCCGTTTATAACGCTTTGTTTACTTCATAAAATAAATGTTTTAAAACAATTTTGAACAACGTTGTACAGAAATATTTAATGAATTGTATTTATCTATTATCAAAACTTATTATAAATTTAGAAGACATTTCGATATTTGTTTTTTAAACTTTTAATTCGAAAAGTTCGATTGAAATGATTAGAACTTCTTCTGTCGTTTATTAAGTTGAGAAATAGTTCCTCCTGTTCATTTCTCTACCAGTAACACAAGTGTCAAAAATCTTACAAGTTCAAGGTTTTACAAATATGATCTTTCCGAGTGAAATATAGACGTGCAAACATAACACGAATAAGCTAGTTTGATTCCACTGGACTGGTCATTTAACGTATCAAAACGTAAATGTCATACACATGTATAAACAGTGTATGCTATTAAACATTCACGCAGAAATGTATGAATCTAATCTATCTAAATTAAGCCATTTGAAAGACCTTTTCTACAATATTTTTTTATATTGTAGAAATGCATCCGAGATGGATAAAATAGCGTTATCCTTAAGATGTCTTTCTAAGAAAGAGTATTAGGGAATTCAATCGTATTTTGTGTTGTTACCATGGAAGGAGGGTAGTTAATTTTTGACTTCCTGTGACTATTACCAATTAGTGTTTTTCATAGCTATGCATTCATATGCATTGGGGTAATGCCGTCATGATATTAACATAAAATTTAGATAAGCTTTGAGGCCAATCCGAAATTTAAGGGGGTAAAATGGGAGACCAAACTACATGAAAAAACTAGCACATAATTGATAAGCAAGTCGTGTGATCTGATTAAATACCGGCATAATCATGTCAACGATACGCTCTTTGTGGTGCGGAAATACACATTAGAACCGTATACTAATCTCGTTAAGTTGTATGTGTAAGTATATTAACCAAATAATAGAAATGGGAGTTAAAGTGAGCCGGTGAGGGATTGCTTTCTCTCTTCCTTAGTTTTACAGTTTTATTCAGTATTGATTTGTTTTGAGCACAAAATGAAGAAATTGATGTGTTTATGTAGATATTCAAAAGGTTCTCCCGGATGTTCTAGTCCACAATAAAAACTTTTCTATCTGAACACTGATTATTTATATACAACAAGAGAGTGTTTATCGCAACCTACCCATACTAAAATCTTAACTGTACCTGCCAGTACATTGATAAAGTTCGCAACAGTCTACAGCGCAGTAATAAATGATTGAAATAAAGGTATGCACATACAAGTGAGACATTTTTTTTTATAGTTTTGATTAATGTTTTGACGAACCATTTCTACCCTTGACACATCCCGAACATATTTATTTAAGTTGATGTCCTTATATCTGTGGGTAGAATGTTAACATACTCAAAGTCCAGTAAGTGTTAGTAGTTACTGGCAATACCGGGCCATGGACGTGCATTATAGTATCAGAGACAATAGGTTATTGTAATAGTGAGACTATGAGTGACCTGTCATAGCCAGACACCTTAAATTATAGTATCATGGTTGGACCTAGCCGGGTGTGTAAGGGTTAATTGAAGGCGTTTTAGGGTTTTAACACAACACTAAGGGGAAATGCTGTCCCTCAATGATGTTACACATAGAGTTAAGGAACGGAACGATTTTGAAGTCTAAAAATACTGGACCCGTATCTAACCTTTCCACATTAAAACATTGACGGTTGGTGTATAAATAAACGTGCGTTTCGTGTGAAAGATGGGAGGGTTCATGTACTGGACTTCAGTGGGATGATAGAACAACGACGGGTCTTGGCCTGCATAATGTTCACATCTTAACTTCACATCTAGCCATCCTTCATACTGATATCGAGATAGTGAGTACACACTATATGTAAAAGCAGACAGAATTATCAGACATGCGTTTATCTTTGTCAGTTAGCTTATAGAAGTTCTAATGTCTTAACTAAGCTTCATCAGTTTGGAAATATGATCTATCAAAGGTTTACTTTATACATAAACAATCTACGTATCACACGTGTCGCAACGTTTCAAGACCGACTAGTCCCTTTGTCAGGCTATGACTGAGTGAGACCGACTAGACCCTTTGTCAGGCTATGACTGAGTGAGGCCGACTAGTCCCTTTGTCAGGCTATGACTGAGTGAGACCGACTAGTCCCTTTGTCAGGCTATGACTGAGTGAGACCGACTAGTCCCTTTGTCAGGCTATGACTGAGTGAGACCGACTAGTCCCTTTGTCAGGCTATGACTGAGTGAGACCGACTAGTCCCTTTGTCAGGCTATGACTGAGTGAGACCGACTAGTCCCTTTGTCAGGCTATGACTGAGTGAGACCGACTAGTCCCTTTGTCAGGCTATGACTGAGTGAGACCGACTAGTCCCTTTGTCAGGCTATGACTGAGTGAGACCGACTAGTCCCTTTGTCAGGCTATGACTGAGTGAGACCGACTAGTCCCTTTGTCAGGCTATGACTGAGTGAGACCGACTAGTCCCTTTGTCAGGCTATGACTGAGTGAGACCGACTAGTCCCTTTGTCAGGCTATGACTGAGTGAGACCGACTAGTCCCTTTGTCAGGCTATGACTGAGTGAGACCGACTAGTCCCTTTGTCAGGCTATGACTGAGTGAGACCGACTAGTCCCTTTGTCAGGCTATGACTGAGTGAGACCGACTAGTCCCTTTGTCAGGCTATGACTGAGTGAGACCGACTAGTCCCTTTGTCAGGCTATGACTGAGTGAGACCGACTAGTCCCTTTGTCAGGCTATGACTGAGTGAGACCGACTAGTCCCTTTGTCAGGCTATGACTGAGTGAGACCGACTAGTCCCTTTGTCAGGCTATGACTGAGTGAGACCGACTAGTCCCTTTGTCAGGCTATGACTGAGTGAGACCGACTAGTCCCTTTGTCAGGCTATGACTGAGTGAGACCGACTAGTCCCTTTGTCAGGCTATGACTGAGTGAGACCGACTAGTCCCTTTGTCAGGCTATGACTGAGTGAGACCGACTAGTCCCTTTGTCAGGCTATGACTGAGTGAGACCGACTAGTCCCTTTGTCAGGCTATGACTGAGTGAGACCGACTAGTCCCTTTGTCAGGCTATGACTGAGTGAGACCGACTAGTCCCTTTGTCAGGCTATGACTGAGTGAGACCGACTAGTCCCTTTGTCAGGCTATGACTGAGTGAGACCGACTAGTCCCTTTGTCAGGCTATGACTGAGTGAGACCGACTAGTCCCTTTGTCAGGCTATGACTGAGTGAGACCGACTAGTCCCTTTGTCAGGCTATGACTGAGTGAGACCGACTAGTCCCTTTGTCAGGCTATGACTGAGTGAGACCGACTAGTCCCTTTGTCAGGCTATGACTGAGTGAGACCGACTAGTCCCTTTGTCAGGCTATGACTGAGTGAGACCGACTAGTCCCTTTGTCAGGCTATGACTGAGTGAGACCGACTAGTCCCTTTGTCAGGCTATGACTGAGTGAGACCGACTAGTCCCTTTGTCAGGCTATGACTGAGTGAGACCGACTGGTCCCTTTGTCAAGCTATGACTGAGTGAGACCGACTAGTCCCTTTGTCAGGCTATGACTGAGTGAGACCGACTGGTCCCTTTGTCAAGCTATGACTGAAATAGCGATTTGAAGAAATTGTATATTTCATATGTCACCCGACCCGGGACGTTTCGCAAATCAATAGAGAATGTAAACACACTGTGTCTAATAGATCTAGTTTTGTGTTATCGTAATCATAATGGTAAGTTTAGCGATTTATTGTGGTTATCCACAATAATGAATCGTTCTCACACAAAACAAGGTAAGTAAAGTTGTGCATTATGATTAAAATACCCTTCAAGTACATTCGATAATCTATGCCTAATCTAACCAAGCTAGGTACGGGTGTCTCCCTTCCAGGTGATAGCGGTAAGTTTATCGTCAGGTCATGGTCTGTATAGATAGTAGACATAGTTTCTTAAGCCAAACCAGGTATCTACTTATACAAGATTCTAGTACATAAAGTTTTGTTAGTCGAAAAAGATCGAATGTCTAAACTTTTAAAGGCATGTTATAAGAAGTTCAGTATTATTGGATTCTTATGTTTCCCCGAAATCTAACGTCATACAATGCTACTTCTTAATCACAAATAATCAGCTGTTTTAAACGTTAAGAATATTCATATAAAGAGAAATAGGAATTAAAGTTGACAGTAAGTATCAATCACAGCAAAAGTTACTATCAAAATGACCTTGACTCATGAACGTCACTTCCGGTTACGAAAGCTGGGTAGCAGGGGTGTCGTCGAAGGTTTTATAAGGCATTCGGGATGGAGGGTTTTAAAACATATTTTGTTCTATTTTATATAGCAGCATGTGTGACACCATCATTGCAGAGAGTGACAGTCGAAATATTAACACCAAGCAAAACTGGACCGGAAGTTGGATTGATCATTGTTCCAGGAGCTTACATTGCAGGCAGTGCCTACAAACCAGTCGGTAAGACATGTCCAATGTCAAAACCTAGTATACAGATCGGTCAGGTATATTTGTAGTCTATAAGGACAGGTTTTCAAACCACTTTGTCATACACTGTATTTGTATTAAATGTCAGCATGTAGGTACATCCATTTTGGATGTCACACAGTTTGCACTACCAATGATGTTTTTACGTGTTAAGTCAATAAATCCCACATGCCATTAATAACCCTTCCTCTAATGGAAAGAAGTAAATGCAAGTTTGAGTCGCCTAGCCATAAACTATTCGAAATTTGATATTCTATGAAGGCCTAGTATGGCCGGAGAATAAGAATGAGATTACATTATCCCCAAAATGGTTACATTTCCGGATTACAAAGCACAGACATGTCTGCTTTGATGCTAACAAGAAAACTAAGTTCATCAATCGACAGACAATCCTCGACATGTGTCTAATGAATTTAAAATTACATGTAAAACTCTCATGAATTCTCGTTAGCACAATCATAAATCTTCGACGGTCTTAAACACAATAGTATGGTGGCTTATATATAACTTCTGATATTATAGCAACATGACTGTCATTTGTTGCTCTTGGTGCATTGCAGTGTTGTATGTTGTCTTAATTCCTGCTATTATAGCAACATGACTGTCATTTGTTGCTCTTGGTGCATTGCAGTGTTGTATGTTGTCTTAATTCCTGCTATTATAGCAACATGACTGTCATTTGTTGCTCTTGGTGCATTGCAGTGTTGTATGTTGTCTTAATTCCTGCTATTATAGCAACATGACTGTCATTTGTTGCTCTTGGTGCATTGCAGTGTTGTATGTTGTCTTAATTCCTGCTATTATAGCAACATGACTGTCATTTGTTGCTCTTGGTGCATTGCAGTGTTGTATGTTGTCTTAATTCCTGCTATTATAGCAACATGACTGTCATTTGTTGCTCTTGGTGCATTGCAGTGTTGTCTGTTGTCTAAACTTTTGATGTGATAGCAACATGACTGTCATTTGTTTCTCTTGATGCATTGCGATTTTGTCTGTTTTCTTAACTTTTGAAATAATGTAAGAACAACATCTCTGACTATGTCACATTAATTGCCCATGATGCGTCGGATTATTATAGACTGTTGTCTGAACTTCTTTTGTTAGAGAAACGTCACTGTCATTTGTTCCTTTTAGTGTTTTGGATTTCAGTAGATTGTCTAAACTTCTGATGTTTAAAAAGTTTTTCTGTCTTTTATTCATTTAATTTTTTTTGGATTTCAGTTGATTGTCTAAACTTCTGATGTTCGAGAAACTGGATTGCAATTTAATCCTTCTGATATTTTGGAGTTTTGCCAATTGTCTAGTGTTCTAGTGTTGAAGCATTTTGGCTTTCATTTATTTCTCCTCATACTTTTATCTAGACTTCTGATGTTTGGTCAACACACGTAACGGCGAAACATTAAAGCTGACAGTGCAATTGAAATCTTTTATAAAAATATGTTCATATGTCTTCTTCAATCGTTTAAGGGGAGGCAATTCAAGCTGACAGCGATCTTAAGGTATGGGTGGCCTTGCTGGATGGATTTTTTGGAAACCTTGCCAATCCCTTGCAGCTAGGGGGCGCTGTAAACAAAGCTAAAGCAGAACTGACCAAAAGGGGAGCGAAACAGGTTTTCCTAGCAGGACACAGTCTTGGAGGTAAGTGGGAAATTGGGAAAATGATACGATTATCATTTCTTGTTATTTAAAATGAAATGTGTTGCTAATGGCATAATGAGACACTTGTATAAAATTTGTTTTTCTTTTGCCAGCCGGCGTTTTCAAACCCAATGTCTTTAAATAGGATACATTTCTTACTTAAATTTTTATCATGGCAAGCAAAAGAATATCTACTGCTAAAACGGAAACTGACAAAGCTTCACTGGAAAACACAATTATACTTGTTTTGAAAATATGATTTTGGTTTAATTTCCTACATAAATTCACAATACTATTTATTAGGTTTTATTCGATTTTTACCAGAATCTCATTAACCAGACATCAGAGAAAATGTCAATCTATATGTAGGTATTGATGTTATATACATTTTACCATCTGTTTTAATTAAACACTCTATGGGACAGGGAAGTGATTCGTAGAGTGTGGACAATATGATTATTATATTGTGTCCACTGTAAGAATTACTTCCGTGCCCCATATACCATTCTAAGTAATTCGTATCGTACGAACATACGTTTACAAGGATCCAGTGTTATTCGGGAAGCTACATGTACCGTTAATATTACTTTTTTGAACCATAATTAAACACTATATATATCGCTCAGAGTTACGACGTTATACCTCCTTTGATATCATTTACTGTGACGTCACAATTAGGACATTAGACTTGAAGTTATTTTTTACGAATAATTTGCATGTTCTTGGCTATGTGATGAAAAGGATCTCGAATCCGTTTTCACCGCATCAGGGGGTTCATGAAGCGTATCTCGGGGTTGACTTTGAGCTCGGCTTGAGATATTTTTGGAAATTATGAATAAAAATCAATTAAAGTCGTGGTACTTTATGGAAAGCATAGTCCAACGATTTATATTTGGAGAAGAAAAATGGTTAATTACATTTTTGCCAGCGAAATATCGGATTCTATCAATTTGATAAAACTTATATCTTTCACACTGTGACAAATATCAAAAGTGATATTTTCACAGTGTGAAAATATCACTTGTTGGTATTGACCAATCATAACGATATCTTCTATTCGCTGCATTAAAAGGCAAGGATTTTTTGTTCAGATTCAAATAAAGCGACGGGAGAATAAGTGATTGTTAGGGTTAATGTTTGGTACACACACTTAAGTTTTTACATAAATATACAATTAATAGCATTTTGATAAGCAATCATACCAGAAAAAAACCCAGAAAACGTCAGAATTCACCCTTCCATGCCCCGCCCCCACGTAGCAACCAAAGTCACGTGACTACATACTCCGACAACAAATGTAAACAAGCCATAGTAAAATTTTGCCCATGGCGATGGCGGCAGCGACTGTTGCAGGACTCGGGGACATTCCCGATGGTTTCTGTATGGGATACATTCAAGATGCAAACATTTCTGAAAAATGTTTATCCAGGGGAACTATTTATTTTAGAGAGGGCTATGTCCACAACCTAAATTTTACACAAAATAATGTCCAAGCGGAGATGGCAATCGGAGGGAGATGCTACCGAAGCATGAGAAAGGGGGGGAAGCCACACTTGTTAACATTACATGTACAGTAGGCTTAACAAAGAAGTGTGTTAAGGACGCATACTGTTCAGCTGGGTAATTATCCAGTTTGGGTCTGTCGAGTTCCGTTTTTCTTTTCCTTTTTTAATTAAACGGTTGTTCAAAATATCATGCAGTGATGTACGTTGGTTTCCTTGTTCAGAGTTTTTAAAAAAAATACTAAATAGAGGTATGTATCCGCGGCTCAATACTTGGCAATTCTCCCTATTTAGGAGGGAGACTCACGAGTTTTACATCTACATAGTAATGACCACCTTCGTCTATTTGAAGATCATGTCATGGATAGTGGGTGCTAGGACAAGAAAAGAAATTGAGCAATTTAAACTAGTGAATTTTCTAAAATTTCATCTGAAAGAACAGCTCAAAAGATGCCATTTTCTTAGGGTGTACAGTACATACATACATTTGTTTTAATCTACCCCAAGGGACATTTTAAAAAGTTGGCAAGTATGACAAGCTGGTGTTAAACTGTTTATGTGTGTTCTTACCTATAGCAATATGATCATATATATGAACCCCCTATATATATGCGTGCACCCTAAACTACAAACTGTAGTGCAGGCCTAACGTACAATCATGGCAGTCAATGAGTCATTCAAAATGTAAAAATTATATATAACAATGGACATTGATAACGTTAACAGTCATCTCCGACATCTGTTGCTGTACTGTGCGATTACATCCAAATAAAAACAAGGGAGTAGGCCCTATTCAAAACATATGTTCCTAAATGTACTGTTTACAGTGAAGAAATAAAAAGTCTAAAACATTAGTCATATTAATTATATTTAATTATTCCTTTAATGCACTCATCCAAGTTCTGCAAATGAAGTGAATAGGCGCTTACATAAAGGCATACCATAGACATTTATCCCTCCCTTTTGTCCTCTTTTTAAGGACAAAGCATTAATTCTGTTTTGATAACAAATCATCAGTACATTATTACCCCATGCCCCAATCCCAAAATTATAAAGTATTACCCTTCCTCCATTCTTCAATATCTAAGAGTGACAAGATCTGATGTGCAGCAGGCCTAGTTTACGAGTTTCTTCCATCTGCGCCAGGGACTTGCGAACCTACAACGTTTCACGGTATGCCAGAGGTTCGCATCCTGTTCTGCAAATCACTGCTTTGAATGGAGATAGCAAATCTAAAAGCCAGATCTTTAAGACCAAAAATGTGTCGCAGTCTCATCAATGTTAACAACAGTTTATCCTCCTTGAGAAAGTCAAGTAGGGCCTGGAATGTTGAGAATTTGAATCCTGTATAATATTCAAATAATCCTTGAATCTGTGATTCCTCCTTTAAAATCTCCTGAACAGTCAGTGGTTTGGGTTTGTCATCACTTACAGGATTTCCCAATGTAGCTTCATGTTGTTCATACCACACTTTGTATTCATTGAATAAGACTTCAGGCTGATGAACTTGTTGTTACAGTCTCTTGATTTCAGCTGCTGCTGATAGCAGTTCCAAAGATGTTCCTGAAAAAAAGTTCTATAAATAAATCAAATTCAGCTGATTTTATTTTATTTTCAGTCTCAGAAGAATGACATTGCTTTTAACAATGGCAATGTCATGTCTTGCTGAGAAATGATTTATACCCAACCAGTAAACCAAGATTTGGTGGAAATGTCAAAGGTTGCAATGTTGGGAAAGGCAACACGGTCCCAAAGTACCATNAACAGAAAAAAAGGTCCTACTGATGCTATGCTAAGAGATTTGTTTACAATAAAGACATTTTCTTCTGTAGCAACAGATTATGGTATTAGTAGGGGGAAAATTGCCAGAGAAAAATATGTCAATCAAAAGTCTGTCTAAAACATACATGTCCATGATTGTGGGTTAGTGATAAACAATGAATTTTCCCATCTAGCCGCCACACCTGATGGTAAAGTATGTGACAAAGGGGAGACTGGTATTGTGGAAATAAAATGTCCCTTTGTAGCAAGGCAGATGAGTATTACTGAAGCTTGCAATGTGATCCAGAATTTTGTACCTAGTTATGAAAACAATGTTGTAAAAATGAACAGAAAACACAACTACTATGTTCAAATACAGGGACAACTGCTTAACTGCTAGTCACAGGTGCTCCATGGTGTGACCTTGTTGTGTTCAAAACAAAAGAACTGTTTGTTGAGAGAATTTATCCTGATATTCCATTTATGACCAAAATATTACTTCAGCTGTCATTTTTCTACAAGTATCATGCTTTACCATACCTCAAAAGATAAGGTATACCATATATAGCTTTACCTAAATCACACCAACTGAGCAAACCCAATAATAATTTACACACATACTTTGATATTGCCACAATTTCACATTAGAACTTGAAGCCTTTAAAATATATTGGTTTGCAATTCCTAGTCTGTAAAAATTGTATTAATTGATAATAGTTATACATGTATACAGTGAAACCTGTCTAACCTGACATTCACTGGGGCATAACATACTGGTAAGATTACAGACAAATAGTCTGTCAATAGTCTAAATACACAGGTCATATACTATTATTTTCATAACACATGGGATTACAGCATTATGTGTAAAGTGTCTGAATAATCAGGGGTCGGACGAGACAGGCTTTACTGTATTTTGTTCCAGTTAAAACTGGTATTAAATATTTAATGAAAACCAATACAATTGAAATTGTACACAACAAAACCATAAGTGTTCTAGGACTATATACATATGGAGATTACATGCCAAATGAGTTTGATGTATAGTGCATAGTTCATTTTCTGGTTTTATAGATAAAATGATATTTTGGTATCTTTCCATTTTCAAAATTTATCTCAGCTTTATACTAAAGCATATCTATACCTTGGACATCAGTTTGTACAAGATCATGTTCTTGATGTGGTGCTGCTCCATGGCCTGTACTGTTTGGAGTGTTAACTGGGACTGAAGTGGGCTGGGGATCCTCCATATCATTGCTCAGTTCAGTGCTGCGTCTTGACAATAAAGAAATGAAGAAATTATTTTAATATGGGTTTTCAAGACTTAACAATTTAGGTGTAACCATAATTATTTACAATATGATCTCAATGTATTCCTCTTTTGATATATCACAACATTAAGACATGGAGAATGGGTTGAAAAAACAACCAAAGACTAATTGCTTAGAAACTAGAAAGGGATACATCTTTCAATAAAATCAATCACTTACAGTATAACTACATGCCCTGGTTTAATTTATATAAAAAAATCTCACTTTAGAATGTCTATTTCAATTTGTATGTATGCACACTTGACATTTTGGGAATAACAATTTGTTTATCAAAATGTTTAAACACCAAGGTATAAAGAAGTTAATTGATTATAGCTTATCTGATTCACTGCAACATATTTCCTGTCAGGACAATACTTTCTACTTGGAAAATCTATAGCACTGAAAAACTGATAATAATTACAAA